ATTACTTGAATAAATAAATTCATAGATAAATAAATATATATATAAAAATGAATAAATAAATAAATAATTAACATAAATGGACGAATAAATAAATATATATATATATATATATATATATATATATATATATATATACTAGCTTTAACGTGCCAAACGCTGGTCTTTAGCTTTACCATGCTCCATCAAATAACATCCGCACCAGTCTCCCAGTGTCCACCAGTGACCAGATAACAGTGTGTCAATGCTACACTTTTAGTAGTAGTGATAGATACCCATCACAGACACAAAAGAGCAGTGCGCTCTAGTGCTGCCTTTCTGCAGTTGCATCGACCAGAACGCCCCGTTTGCATCTACAGTGAACTAATGCTTGGCAGCAGCACACGTAGTATACGTGTGCAAAGTTTCGCATTTATGCTCAATTGGCACTATATCAGAAAACCACCAATATTACGTGTGTGAAAAGTTATACATTTTAATCGTGAACCCGGTTGCATACATTACGTTTTGTAATGAAGCATGTAATAAATATTAAAGCACGGTAATAATACGGTCACTTAATGGTACGGTTGCTTATATAACCTGTTTGCCTACTAAATAAGAAACATTTTAACATATAGCATGCTCATACAGACTAAACAATTTGTGATGTATCGGTCATTTAATATACAAGTGGAGGGAAAATATCCATTAATTTTATAAATTTTCTTGTTTCCACCTTGTTTTATTACAACTTAAAGATATCAGCACAAATTGCGTAAATTGCTGCTATACTATTAGAATGGATATACGCAAATCACCTGAGCTATTTTTCGAGTATATTGGATTAGTAATTTTGATGTTATAGCCGAAACCCGAAGAGTGGTATAACGCAATACTTATTCAACCGTCAGGGGTACATTACGCCACTAGGTGGCGCTGTTCAATTAGCACCATAATATTATTATATCATCTTTATGATATTATCATAAAATAATTAGGATCTCATATAGTGCGCGTGTGCAAAATTTCAAAATTATGAGGAAATTTGCACAATGTGCCCATGTGTATGTGCTTATCTCCTGCACTATGTACGATATAAACCTGAGAAAAGCTATAGCTTTTCGCAATAATATTGAGTGCATGCGTGCACGCGCATGCGAATCAGTTTGGCAAATTCACCCAATATATTTTAATTTATGCTTATATTTCCTTTAACCTCATAACGCCTATTACTTCTTTTGTTGCTGGCTACTGACCACTAAGCTGTATATGATAACACATGTTCTTATATACAGCTAGCAACTGACCAAGGAACTGGATATACAGAGTATGGATAGCTCCTTGATGCTGACGATCGACTGGTGGCGCCATCGTGTGGGCACCATCAACTCCGTAAAAGACAAAACATCTCAATCATGGTTGAATGAATACACGAATAGGAAGGAATATACATGTGACTGCCGATGTCAATGTTTGTTAATTAATGTAGTTTATTTGGATGAATAGATGTATTATATGTCTATTACCACCGTTCTTTATTATTTATTTGACAATATTACTCGTTTTATTTACATGGACGTGTAGAAAGGATCGCAGTTAAAGGATTGTATAGTTAGTTCTACATCTACCCGTGTATATCCGAATGCATCCCTCCATATTCACTCCAACATCGGCAATACCACACCAGCATTACTTATACCCATATATCTTATCTCAGATGAACTCACGCACAGCATACATCATGTAGTGCTACCCCATCCGTGCACCACTCTCCACTCCAATAACTTTCTTCATACATGCCTAATTTATGTAGCGCTATCACACTTACACATCCATTAAACCCACCCACGTGCACGCACGCACGCACGCACGCACGCACACACGCCCATGCTGTGAAGGAAATATATACACACGC